AGGCCGTATATCACTCTGCTAAAGACTGCAGTGTTGCCTATCTCAGTGACCGTAGTGTGCTCCTTTTCGTAAATTAATCGGTCGTTCTAATCTTGGTAAAATTCGGTAACCCTCAAGACATATTGGGAAATTTCTAGAGTTAGACTAAATTCGTTTTATTCTTTAGTTTGAGATACACAATGTTCGGTTGAATTTTCTTTTGTTTGGTGTTATCGACATAATATTTTTGTATAATAATTATAAATAAATAAATAATTTGTTTATATTTTGAATGATTGTGATTTAATTGGTTTATTTGACATTATGTAAACAAAAAAAATAAATATTGTATAGGGAATTAAATTAAATTTTACCACACCTGTAACCATTCGTCAAATATATTAAACTAACGATTTTAATTTTGTTCAAATTATATACGAGTACATTCCCGGAAAATATATTATTAGATTTTTGTGCTCGATTTAATTTTTTTTTTTTTTTAAATCCATAATCTCGCTTTGGATATTTACGATATGGGAAGGGGTTGAGATATCATTATTAAATCCAAGGGCAATTATGATGGCGCTTAACAAAATAAGAGGGGAAGAGGTGATACTATATTAAAAATATTTGATTATTTTTCTTTCTACTTCAAATAAAGACCTAAATATTGTGTGTCCGCGGACGCGACACGGCCGTAGTGACGTAGCCGGAATTTGACGAGGTGCCGAGAAAAGTTGAGAACTCCCGGATCGGACCGAAATCGTTGTCCGTTACGCGTAATATTCGTCCCGACTCCCCGTCAGGGGACACGTAGACTCATTTACAATTATAATGCATATTATATAAGGATATGTAGTTTTTAGGTCGGACGTCGCAAAGTCCATGTTTTTTTTTTTTAAATCAATTTTTTTTTTTATTTGAATAATAATAATCGTACAGGCACGGCGTTTGTTTGCGTATGACAGACAGGACTCCGTCCTGCTATACGGACGATGACGAGACGCCGTGTCTCGGGCGGTGGTACAACAATGAAATCGTAACGAACAAGGCCGTCGTACCGTTTTGGAAAATACGATTTTTTACTCCTCTCTACCGCTATACTATGCACATATATATATATAGATATATTATAATATAATAATAATAATAATAATAATATAATATAAGACTACGCACGTCGTCGTGAACGACGATCAAATATATACGCGTATATAATATTGTTGTATGGGCACTACGAGGCCAGGGTTTTACAAATTTTCTGTTGTGATGAAATTGATTACCCCGGCGTTGTCGTCGTGCTACGTGACACTACGTCGTCGTGTACCTGCCCGTGTACATTATAATAATATTATTTATAAACCTACGAACCGCCCGCGTTTAGGCCGTTATAATACGACGTCGCGGTGGAGACCGACGTGTAAAATTCATCAGCGGGGTTTTAAATAATAGACCGCCGCAGCGATTAAAATAATGGAAAATTAATAGGTCGAGAAAAAGAAAATTTGAAAAGAATATCGAAAAAAACCACCGACGGCTCAAAGCCTCAGCTTTGAGCTGTCAACGGTTCGTCGGTACGCAACGTACGTAACGGCGGCGCGCGTGTTACCTCTTCGGTTCGCGTACAATAGTATAATAATATTGATCTCGGCGTACGGCTTTAGAATGCCGTGTAGCGTTTTTTTTTTTTTTTTTTTTTTTTTGAAACGCCTCCGGGGAAACCGGTAGCGACCGCTCGTCGTCGTCTGTTGATTTTGATTTCAAATAACCTATACCTCTATATTATATACGCGCGTTTCGATTGCTTTCGCACAAAACGTCATCGTGCCACGTACAATACCTATAATACGAAAAAAAAAAAAAACCTCTGTGAAATATATTCGGTAGTACTAGGAATAGTAATAAATAATTTACGACAAAGGAAAATAATGAGACGGGGACCGCGGTATTGTTCTTACGTCATCATAGTGATTACCGAAGAGTCGATATAGGTGACGCCGTGGCGAGCGATGCCCTTTGCCGCGATCCGATTGGCCGTCGTAATTTCGCGGTTGACGTTCGGTGTAAGCCCGTCGTTTATCCCGTTTCGGTTACAGCGGTCAGAGCGGGTTTTGTTATTGCTATGAGTTTTTCGGCGTTATCATCAATCAGCAGTCGTCGCCGGCGTTTTCGCTTTTACGCATAGACTCGTACATCCAGACGAAACATTCAGCATGAAAATACGTTCCGTTGGGTGGAGTTTCATTTCGAGGACAGAAACACGTGAGAAAATAAACGAGTGTTCTAATTGGCTGCTGTCCTCGGAGCGCAAATTTGCTCGCTCTCGTAATAGACTTTATATCGACCCATCTCTCTTGATCCATTCTGACCGACCTGTCCTCGGGGTGAATGTTCTGTCAAGACGTATACGTCTATATGCTTTTATGCTACGGTTTCGCGCGAATAATAGGTTGCCAGTGGTCACCGCCGAATCGCGGTATCACTAATTGTAACTTTTTTTTATCGCGGTTATCGGGAATCGGACAATGGACATGAATGACATTTTAATCGAGTATGGGCACGTTTATTTTCTAGGAGTTCTCGGAGTGTTGAAATCTGAACAGCGGTCGGTTATTGAAGTTGTTATTAAATATAATTAAAAACCTGCGCGACTTATAAAAAGTTTTATTCTAACTAAATTGCAAAGTTTATTATCCCGTCCATATAATCTGCATTAGGTGTTTGTACTATGATAATTTCAAGCTATAATTGTCAATTTGTTTAAAGAAACGCATTTTTGTGTACTTATATCCTTTCATTATTGGATAATAGCGTTTGCCTACATAAAGTTTGTAACCAAACACCCGGGCTTGACACTTTTTTTTTTGATTTGTTTTTTTTTTCTTTAATTTATCAAATTTGTCTATTTATTCTCTTATTATTGGAGGTTTTTTTTTTGATAAACTTTAACAATCGATTAATCCAGATATTTGCTGAATCTCAATTACATTTTTAATTATAACACAGATGTTTGGCAAATAATAATACGGTTCGATTACATTAACCTTATTTTTGGCGACGAACTAACTACGAACTTTTGAATAACTTTATGGTAATTTATAGATATAATATAATATATAGATAATTTCCGTTGCATTTCAGTACCTACTGCCATTCGTGGTGATCATTTCTTTAAACCATTTTAAATATCGCTCGGCGCTGTTTTTTTTTTTTCTAAAGATTTTCTATAGCCGTATCATTATTACAATATCATATTGATATTAAATCGATCCTCCGCCGCTTCGCCGTCGTTATTTTTTTATTATTATTATTATTTTTTTCATTTTCCTGCGCTAACCGGATTATCGTTTTCGAGATCCGGAGACTTAATAACATTATAAATGTACTATATACACATAAAAGTTTCACGGTTTTAATATAAATAATCCGACTACAAATAATTCCACCTATATAACGGGACTATTATAATAAATATATCGTGTAAAGTATATACCTAAGTTGTTAATATTAAACAGTTTTGTTTGTTTTTTTAATGCGCCGACTTCTGTAAATATTTCCGGACGTTAACTAGCTATTCGCAAACTCTTTAAATAATACTCTTTATATATCGTTAATACTTCATACTCCTATTGTTGTATAGTTTTATGTAGTAGAAAACTTTCGATGTTTTTTGTGCCTATATACAGAAGTGGTTGAGCAAAAAAGACCACATTTGAGATAATCGTAGCTTTGGGAGGGATGTCGCATAGTATTGCCGAACATTGTCTCATCGTGTAGTACGTATTAGGAAGTATAGTTGCAACGGTGTATTAGAGTATTGAACACCGCAAGTTTGCCACGGAGACTTTTTTCCCTAAAAACGAGTCAACCGGGACTACATAACGCACTTTCCGCTTGCAACGAATTTTAAAGTGGGATAAGAACTTTTGGGAACATAGAGTTATATGTGACCCCAAAAAGGCTCTGACGCGAAATTTTCGAGTGCTTGAGTGTGGTGTCTCGTGGGCTCTCGTTGGAAACGCGTTATATTTTCTGGTGTCACCATGGGTGGAACACATCTAGGAATGTCTGGGATCACGTTAAAATATGTTCCCGAAAATCCTCGACCCACTTTAAAATTGATTGGCTATCGGGAACAATTGAATCGCGTGCGGAATGCATGTGGTGTATTTCCAGCATTGATTCATTGTCACTGAAAAACGTTTCCATGGCGAACGTGCGGTGTTGAACACTCTAATGCGCCGTTGCAACTAAACTTCCCGTCACATATTCTACAATGAGGCCTTCGGCAATATTGTGCGATATCTCACCCTAAATATATGCTTATCTCAAATGTGGTATTTTTTGTTCCGCCACCCTATGCATATAGAGAAAACACGAAAAACGTTACTGTTTCTCGGTGTTCGCCTTTATAAACGCGTCATATTGTATCGATCATTGTTTAATGTAACTTACTTAAGCTAAGTACTTTATGAACTAGTCCGTGTTTGTCTTTGTATGATTTCAGTTTCTCGTTTGGTCACGAATTTCCGAATGCGATTTTTACCAAACGATAAGCTCTGAAGAATCTCCCTCTCCCGGCAGATCTATCGATGGAAAATTAGGTTCGTTTTACTCACTTCGACACACACACACACGCACACACACACACACACGCACACACACACACACACACACACACACACACACATAAAACATTCCGACGTTGCACACATGGCCCCGACACGAGAGTTAATTAAAACCGTATACAGTGACTTGTCGTGTGCGGTGTTTGCGAGTACATAATATACTATTATACTCTCCAAACGGCAGGCTTTTTTGAAAAAAAAAAAAAAAAATTAAAAATAACGTAAATTCACGACGGGATATTCCTCTCCCCATGTGCATTGTGTGTGAGTGTATCCGTATCTTGTATACATATAATACAATTTCGGCGATGACAATAAAATCGATTGAGTTATTTGCGAGCTTATAGTATATTATGTTATATGTTATAACTATGGGCAAGAACGTCGAGGGCGTACGCCGACATATGGTAATACGTTCGCAATTTGTTGTTATGTTTTGCGTGTGCGTTCGAGTGTGCGAGTGCGTGCGTATAATAAAAATAAGATAAAACAAAAAATAATAATAATAAAAGATCCGAAGCCGCCGCCGCCGATGACGAAGCAAATGTGTTTATTTGGGTGCCGTGCGTACGCGTAGTTCTTCTCCTCCGGACGGTTTATTGGCTTCGTCGGCTAAGTTGCCAAATCGAATTCGGGTCAGACAAGAGTAAACAAACCATTCAGCGCGAAATTCGACGATAAGTACTACGGTTATAGATTAGATGACTGGAAGAAGGGCGGACATGCGTGCCAGCGAATCTAAAACCCACTAAACCATAGAAGCGGTGTCTGGATTTTTGGGAAGAATGGGTATGGAAAGGGAGAAGATGTAGTAAATCAGGATATTGAATCTTTGGGACGTGGATCTAGTTGGAAAAAATTGCAGCATAAACGTAACCAGTTGAATGATTAGTTATGAGATGGATTGATCCTCTAGAAGCCGTATACAACCAAATAATAATACTTGGTTAGATTATTAAAGGTGTTTACAATTTAATTTATATTTTCTAGCAACATTAAACTATTTGTTAACAAAAAGCTGACTCTGAGCAGAGTATAATTATAGTCCCATTTGTTCCCTTGTTGCCAATAAGGTAACCTTGAAATAAACAAAAATCATTCAAACAGCCGGAATTTCCTATTTATTAAACGAACTATACAAGGAAAATCAAAAAAATGTCCCCACCAATCGGATTTAAAATTCCACAAAAATGTTCCTACATAAAGTTTTTAATTTTACCGAAAATTCCGGGTCGACTAGTAGTTTACAGGGGAAAAATACACACACACGGTAAAACCCCGATACATTTCTCGCTCCAAAAAATCAGACGCGAAAACGAAAAAACTCGCGATCCCGAAAATTCGGCCACATTCGGCGACGCTATTGAATAATATTTTTGTGAAAACTAAAACCGCGGACGACGATGGACCTATCGTATCTAGAACACCTAGTTGCACCCACTCAATCGTTACTACTACGACTACTATATACTACTATTGCACCATCATCACATCATAACGTTACGAGTATATACCATATTTAAAAACTTGTATTTCCAAATAGGTATATATATATTTTAAATAATTATTAAAAAGTAAAAAATCGTGTAATTATAAATTATAAGATATATATTTAGATGTATTATATACTTACTGTAATAATCAATAAATATATAATATTATAATTTATTAATATTTTATATAGTCTACCTTGTATACATAATATATAATGTGCGTATACAAAATGTAATAATTCACTTTTAAATGCGCGTACAACATAATATTGTACACTCGTTTAGTAGCGAAATGAAAAATAATTGAAACTATATTAATACGTGTTTTGAATGTATATTTATACATTTATATAAATACACACACACACACACACACAGGGTGTAACACGAAAAATTAACACCTGAAATAACTATTGTTCTGTTGGATATTTTTAAGCCCCCTCCCCCCGTAATAACTATTAATAAAATTTTTGCGCTATGATTCCTCTAAATTATAATTTTCAAAACTAAAACACATTCATTACGACATCGAAATTTATACAATTACCATCTTGGATTTTGTAAAAACAATTATTTATTTTAAGTTTAAAAAATATATACATAGTATATTATATAATAGAGGAATCATAACACAAGATACTAAAAAATATTACCTACACTAGATAGAAAAATTTAAAAATATCTAACGGAACAGAATTTATTTCAGGTATCAGGTATTCGCGTGTTACACCCTATGTGTATATTTGTATACAATCGATTAGTTAGGTTATTTAATTTTCGGAGTGCGATAATATATCATAATATGGTACGCCACTTGAGTTTTCGGCAGTTTACATACATCGTTTTACGTCGAATTTTATTTGACAGAATTTCACTGAGAGTTTTTATTTTTTATTTTGTTTTTGAAGTATGGGAGTGTGGTACCTGTGCGCAAAATTGATGGTTGGACCGACTATATGGGTATAATATTATTATGAGAAATAATACAATTTATACAGGTTTGAAGTGAATATAACATATTTCCGTTTTGTCATCTATATATTTTAATAGTTACTCGAGCCGATCGTCGTATTACCAAGCTCACTTGGTTCAACTATTTTAATTTTTTTTTCAATCAGAGTCACTATTTTTTTTTTTTTTTTACTCAATTAATTAATCTCCGTATTTTTATACGTTCTTTACTATACAGGGTGATCAATATAACGTAAGACATTGTAATTACCCCGGAAAGTATATAACGACTACTTCAAGCAGCTTTGAAATGTTATATTACTTTTAATTTTTTGTCAACTTTATGTCTGGCTGTTAAGCCGCTGCCACGTTTTAGTTTTCAAATAGCTACTATAAAGTTAAAAATTCCACAAATAGATGTAGTTTTAGTTTGAGTATATATTTGCGGACGTTCAAAATGTTTAATTTGAGTCGAGCCGTAGATTACACTTTTAAAATGTTTTTCGTTTTGCGGGTAGGAAGACATACGATTTCATCCCCGAACAAGTGGGCGACAAATAATAATGGTCATGTGACATTTTAACGCTGCTTCGAAAAAGTCAATACCTACACTTTTCATGACAAATAACGAGTGTATTACGTCATGCCAATCGATTATTCTGTATACTCTAAAATAATATTTTATACACGCTTTAAATTACTTTTTGAACATTTCATTACTCAAAATTTTCGCTCGGAAAATAAATGAATAGCCAAAAATATGTAAATTAAATGTATGCGGCGTGATTTTTTAAGGATACTCACCTTATTTTTATGGTTAAATTATGCATAAATTCAAATTCTGATTTCCGGAATTTTCCAATGTATAACGAAAGAATGATATTTTCGTATACTCGGATGTTTCCCAACACTTAAGCATTGTCACCTGTAATAATACTAACTTTGGTTTTTCGAACGATTTTTTGGATAATTTGTTGAGGTATTGTAATCGAAATTTGAACAAAAAATGTCTGACTTATTCCGCTTTAAATACTAAGGATAGTAGATTGTTTTTTGTGAGGATTGAACACCGATCTTTTCACCGGAGTTTTGTGCAGACAATTTCTCGTCGTTCTAATCATTTTAACCGTGCAGTTATCGAAAAAGTCGTCGAAAGTATCACTTAAATACTTAAAAAACAAAATGAGTTTTTATGTATAATGTGACCATAAAAAAGGGACGATCGAGCTTAAAAGAAATCACCCAGTATGTATAGTGTTGTACGCGCGTACACAAAGCCATGGAAAATAAAAAAGGTCACCCGGTCACTACTCATTATTATGTATACCACCATACGTTTTATAATAATATTTGTACGATCCGAATTTAACGATCGGCATTTTATTTTTTTTCAACTTTATTATTATCAACTCCCATAGTCCGGGAATAATGTACACGTTATAAATATTGTACGTTCGCCCCCGCTGAGAGGTGTTAAACACCGGGCCTGCCGCACACATGGCGCAGATAATCTATAAGAGTCGGTGGGCGCGCGCGCGCGTTGCGCAACTTATTTGTTTTATTTATACGGCCGGTCGGTGTATGATATTTTATAAGACGTGTTTCGTGTTTAGTCGTCGAAACGAAAAATAAATAATAATAATAATAATAACGTCATCTCGCGGGCGTGGGACACGTTCTTGCAATCGATCCGATTTTTTTTTCACTCGTAATTAATTTTAACGTCCTAACGGACAAGACGACGACAACGACGTGTGTTATATAGATAGGAGGTGTGAACACTGCAAACGCCGCAGCGTTCGGAAACTTCGACGTTCTAAAAACATCGTGTACAATATCTTATTGTAGGCGTAGTCATACGTACGGAATTATATAATATGAGAATACGCGGAATTTCATGATTTATAATTTTTTGTCTTCGAGTTTTTTCATTTATTTAATATATGAGAGCTCAAATGTTTTTGTTTTCTGATTAAAATTTAATCTATCATTCCATCGTGAATATTGACGCCATTGAGATTTGACTTTGTTCTGAACTGAAAAAATCAAAATCGGTAAATTCCTCGGTTTGTTCAGAATCTAAAATGTCTGTTTATACTGTTTTAATGTAAAACAATTGAATTTTGATAAATGCTCTGTACTTTCGTAAAGTTTTAAAGTAGATATATTAAATAGTTGCACATGATTGAAGACCGGAACCAAAGCTGAAACCCGATATCCGTATTGTAACAATCGTTTTCGTTTAACACATCTAAATGCCATTCTTAAATCGAGCGATTTTGGGTTTTATTTTTTTACACGTAATTTTATTCGTAATTGCGAATTATAGAATTACTCGTTATTGTTGAATACGAAAATAAGCTTCAATAAAAACCATAGAAGTAATCTATATGCATTGTCGCAGTTTTACACTCGTTATGATCATTCACCAACTGGAACGTTAAATCGTTTAAAACGAGACCGAAAACGATAAAGATAAAAACCACTGCCGTACAATACCATACGAAACCCTCCTAATTATTATAACGGTCAGTTATAGGCTGCGGTCGAGCGTTTCGGCCGCAATAACAACTGCGCAGCCTTGAACGGAGGCCATTCGTCAAAGACCCATCTCGGCAGATGTTCAGTCCAGTAACGACCACCGCGGCGTGTTTTACGGTATTATTATTTTTACTTCTAAATTTAGTCTAGTTTATTTTTTGTTGTTGTTTATCTCACAGAGAGAGAGGGGGAAGGATTTGTACGAGCTTCATTGTGGGCCAACTGCAATAACGATTGTACGGATCTACAGAACGTCGAAAAATATCAATATATATATATGAAATAAAAACGATAAAAGTATAAGTCATTTAAGGAGTATTTTTCTTGAACACAATAATTGAGAGTGGATATTATATAGATTAAGAAATGATGGCGTATCGATAGAACGAGAAGCGACAAGATATTTTCCGAAAGATGTTAAGATATGACGTAATTAGGGATTTGTTCGGGGCGGAAAACAGTATACAACATTAACAATTTTTTTGGCTTTGAATATTTTATCTGTTTAAATTCAATTAGCCATTTGTTGCTTATTTGTTTTAAAATTTAAACTGCAAATAGTTAGTAGACTTACTGAGTTGCGTTTCTTAGTATAATAATTGCATTATACATACCACGATGCTCTCGGGGAGGACTTATCACTAATTACTACACCGAGGGAAAGGACTTATAGGAATTGGTGCGGAAAACAGACGGAGGAACGTATCGTGGCGATGGCGGACAGCGAGAACAAGTATAACTCGCGCGCGGGATAAATACACGCGAAAGAAAATAAAAAGTTAGGTTAGGTCGGGTTGCAGGATTCTGGTTTTTTTCCCCCCAGGCCTTGTTTTCGTACATTTTAATACGATGAACGAGTACAGACCACCAAAACCCCTTAGAATAACCTCGTAAAACGCCTCCAGACGCGGACCGCGGGTCAAAGAACCCTGGATATTGTTCCCGAGACGACCCGAATCCTAGGACTCGATCGCCGCGGCACCAGAAGCAACGGCACCGCGACTACAACACTACTTGCGTATCGTATTATTCTTATAGATTTATTCACAATGGGCGGGACATGGATACGTTTTCGAACGGTGTTTTTTCTTCTTCTTTTATTATTATTATGTTTTTTTTTTCCGTTTTGTACATTATAATATAATATTCTACTCTTTTATATTATCCATATATATATTATATACGATACACGACGAGTATACATCTATACTTGTATATTATATAGTACTTTGATTAGAGATGCAAGTGTACGTGTACCTACACGTACGTTCCTTGACCTCCGGAGACACCATTGTCGTCTGGGACGGAGCGCGCGCGCGGTGGCGGCGGCAGTTAATCTGGATGGAATCTGTGTGTGTGTGTGTGTGTGATACGAACAACAAGATCGGCTCGCGGTAGGGGTGCCCAACAGATTAAAAAAAAATAAATATAAAAAAACCGCCTCGCCACGGTGCAGTGTATATTATGCATATTATGTTCGTATATATATTTGTAGAGATTTGTAACAATAATTACTATTTTCGCATCCTATATAGGCGTGCTACCATCGATTTTAGAATATTGTATGCATTCTAAAATCAATAGTTTTATTACATTGCAAAGAGTATCGGGTTAATTTTCGATTTACAAATAGTATAACTCGTTAAGAATAATAAACAGTTACACACAAAGTGCATTTTTCGTTTTAGACTTTGAGCACTCCAACGAAGAATCCATTGCAGTTTGAATATGATGCAGTTTTTTTGTTTGTCCGTCTGTCTGTAAACTATTATTTCTCTCAGAAAAATCGTTTTGATTTCCGATTCGATCGTCTTTTTTTTTTATAAAACGAAATTTCGTTTAGTCGGTGCGTCATGTACATGAACAATATTTCCATTCCCCCTGTAGTTTATTAAATGATTGAGTACTTAACGGTTTTATTATTTGTCTTTGTTTTTTAGATAAATAATCGTAGATATGGAATTTTTACAATATCCTGGCGATATTTTTCTTATTTGGATACAATTGTTTTGACTGAGCAGAAAGTTTGAAAATTTAACACGAGGTTCATCATTAATTGTATTTGATTGTATGAAAAACAAATTTAGTTTTTTTATATACTTTTTTAAATTCAAACTTTCTCGAGAACCATAAAAATCAATTGAGTTTCTCAAAACACGTTTAACCGAACTTTGCTTAGAACCGTTTTCGTAAGCGATGGTTTATCGCGTTGCATACAGATATAAATTATGTAATTCTATTTGTATCTTAGATTCCCAACTTTTCACCTATAACAGTGATACATCCGTCATAAAATAAAGTGCTTTATATTTTTTTTATTGATACTTTTTAGATTCCGAGCGTAGCGAGGTAGCTATAGGTTTGTTTATTTGGCTGTTTAGGCTGTTTGTTTGATTATTTCTTTTTTCTTTTTTAGTTTCTGGACACGTTTTTTTCTCGTAAAATTGCTCCGATATATAAGTGTAGCACTTTTTCTGAAAACTCAAGTTGTCTAAATTGTACTTAAAATAGACCATTTTTTGATTTTCGACGCCATTTTTTAAATAAAAACCCTTAAGTGGAAAAAAACGTAGAAAAACGTACAATTTTAGGATTTCATTATTTTATAAAAACACGGACGACGTTTTCTACTAGAAAAAAATGATTTAATCGAAAAATCACAAAATAATTTTTTTTTGTTTCCTCTTTGATTTATTTTCTTACAGTATCATCGCCAAAACTTTTGAGTTTTTAAGGAATTTTAATTTTTGGTAGATTTTTTGCTGTAATTTGGTTAATAAATACATGTAGGGACTTGAAACTTGGTAATAATACTTATATTAAACTTACCTAGACATGGTAACATTTTCAAAATGATCGGACGACTTTTTTTTAGTAAGCGTTTTGAAATCAAATTTTAACTAAAATCGAAAAAAAATAAATTACTGCATTTTAAATTATATATTACCGAACTGTGCTCGGAATTGTGTTTTTTCAAGCAATGGTTCATCGTTGATTACAGATATAAATAAAATAACCTTATGCATTCTAGCTTCCCAACTTCTTACCTAAAACAGTGACCGCTCCCATCCCTAGTATTGGCCCTTTATTTTTAGTTTTAACCTTAAACACATTTTTTTTCAATAATCATTTAATATTATAACAATAATAATTTATTTTGTTTACAGGTAAGTGTTTTAAGTTATACCAAGTGAACCAAAATATAGTTACTGCAGTCATATCTCGGGTAATTAATACATTGCGTTTAATCGATAATTTATCATAATATTATGTATAATAGTTAGCATTAATTCGTATTTACCGCAGTGAATTCCCCAGAAAAGCTCCTTGTAGCGAAACGTGTATTTGACTTTTTTCAAACCGAGAATTTGGCATTCTTTTTCAAGTAAATACAAAATTTAGGAAGAAATAAGAGGAGAGGAAGGCTGATAAACATGTGGTCGGATACTCGGATACGTTTGAGAATGATACGCCGTTTGGGAGAGGTATTTGAGGACGATATGGGGGATCGAGTCAAGTGGAAGTTTAGGTCGAGAGTGACCGACCCCAAATAGTTGAAATAAAGGCGAAGGAGAACAAAAATAAGACACAAAATTTAATTTTTAATTTACGAAAAACATTGTCGTGACATTTTTATAGATAATTTTATGTTCTATGTTACAAGTTCTGGTTCATGGTTTATATAAATTCAACAAATTTTTAATTAAATTCGAAAAACTATCAAACTACCTTTTTTCTTCATTGTTAACCCTTTTTTGCTTACCATCACCGGGGTAGGGTACGTTCGATGAAATTTATCTAACTTTTTTCCCTTCATCTATAAAGTACCATTGAAGATATCGTTATTGTGTTAACTATTTTTGGAATTAAATCCAATCGTTTGTTATTAGTATAGAATATAAACTATTATAATATTATGTACACCTCTAGACATTAGTAGTAGGAGTTTTTTTTCGGATGATTTTATTTACGTCGTCTGTTTTGCTTCTTTATGTAGCTAAACATTATAAATATAGTATATAGGTATTCGAGCATAATATTTTTACTAAACGCTGTTTACAATCTGCTTAAAATGTCGAGTAGTATTAAAACTTAATGTAAGTAACTCGATATATAGCGCACGTTCAATGTAATCTCAACTTTCTCATAATATTTACCTACTGCGATAAATTTGTTCACACGCACTCCCGTACATTATAATTTATAATATTATCTAATCGTACTTTTTTTTTTTAAATTTTTTTTTAAACGTAAATATATATGATTTATTGTTATCAGTATAAACATTATATTTAATGCAGGTGTGTACAAATTAAAAAATAAAAAAGAATAGCTTTATTAACAATTTTTTTTTTATAATTGCTATTATTTATATATTTTTTTATTATTGCAATTTTTCAACCTGGCGATGTTTTTATTTTCAAATTTATCTGCATCCTTGGATTATTGGAAATCATTATACCAGCGGTTGGTATTTTTGCTTAATCGTCGAATCGGATACAAGATTATTTTTTGATTTGTACTTTTCTTAATTACATGGCAAAATACTGCAGACACATCCGGTATATTAGTACTTTCTACGTATACGATTTTTAATACATGCTGACGTGTGTTTTCAGTTAGTTATTTCAAATTTTCCAATTTGTAGGAGCTTTTTTTTTAAATTTCGGGTTATGTCGGGTTAGGTTTTTCTGTATAAATTATGTATTTTATCAAATCACCGTTGTAGTTTTTGTCATTAGGTACCTATACTAAATCGAAAATCCCTAAAAATAATAAATCCCTCCGAGGTCTTACATTATAGACGAGGTACAAAGCCGTACTTTGTTCGGGGTTCTCTGGTACCCCAGAGTTGGTATGTATAATAGTTTGTCGGTAGATATAAAATTTCCTCAAAGGGGATAGCGTTTTTTTCTTCCCCGTTATGCGATAGTTCTAATTTTCTTTACCATATATATATATATATATATATATAATATGATAATATAAAAATAAAATACGTATTAAATTAAAACTTTTTATAAACCATTAATATCCGTTTTACACGAAACTCTGCCGTGTATAACTTCCGTTGTTTTTTTTCGCTTTTGATAAAATTACTGCAGTTGTATTACCTTTTTTTTCTTTTTTATTACGATACTTATTATTAGTGCTGCTTACTATATTATATTAGCTACATATATATAAAGTTTGTTATAGTTAATTTCTGTTAGAGCTCTTAAAATAATTATTGTATTTAATCAAATTAAACTTACAGAGTTTCAAAGTTTCTATACATTACTATCATATATATATATAAAGTTAAAAGTTATAATTAATTTAAAGCGCTCGCGATATTATTATTATATTATAACGGTGATAATGATACGCTATATTTTATAATGTATAATTTAAATTTTGTTTATAATTAATACCTATAGGTTTTATATACCTAGAGATACCGCCATTCAGTGGTGTAACGAGGAAAAATATTTTACCGGGAACTGTTCTTATCGTTCCGTGTAGATAAAACCACAGAATAGATGAGATCAGTACATATTAGGTAATTATTTAATAGGCAGGTAGTTGATAATACCGCACTAGTTCGGATAGAAAATACACAGGGATCGTTGATAGTGTAAACGTATTTGATAAGAACTTTCGGCGACGCGTGACTCTTTATGCATGAGATTATACAAAAAAATTACACGATACTGTGTAAGTTTGGTATTAAAATCCAAAAGTGGCAGTGCTGACGAAACCTAGTTGGGTACAGTTATTCGAAAATGATAAGGATAAATAATTACAAAAACGTAATTTAAATACCTGTGTTTAATTTTTTAATATTTTAATACTAACTGCTATTGTAGTATGTTTAAATGTAAAATGTATTCGTTTAAGGTCTTGGGTCCCAGTCGAAGCGAATGGATGAAATTAACGGATAATAAACCACAATTTTGCAAAAACACGTGTGTTATCTGTTAATCGTATAGGCGAAACCAGGGTGGTTTAAAGAGGTCTAGCACCTTCGAAAATAGCTCAATCAACTGTTTCACATAGTAACGATTAAACATTTTATCCGCGTATTTCCTAAATAATGAGCGGAACAGAATACAGATTCCTTATATAGACAATGTACGTGCGTATGAAAAATAATGTTATAATAGTTACCATACAATTGTGATGTATACAAGTTGTAAACTAATCGTGCAGTTGCTTGTTGTAAGAGTCGCACAAAGGGGATTGCGGAGGCATAAAGAAAAGGTACAAAAAGAGGTATTCATTGATAATAAATAAAGGAAACATAAATATAAGAAACAGAAGGTGTGTTTTGCCGATTAACTTGGTTATAATCATTACTATATCAGTCACGGTTATATGATTTTGGTTAATGGTTATAGATTTGCGAAAACGACACGTTTATAGTTATTAAAAATAATATTAATTGATAATAAAAAAAGTACCTAGATGTCTATAATCATTACTTTAACGATAACCATTATTATATTATGTTATAACAATATTATACAATATACATATTATTATAATCATTTCGATAATATTTCTTATACACTTTTTTCCCATTAATTTTTCGGAGTTTTTTCCCATATTTCAAATTTTCCGGAAATTGTCAACCTCTAGTTGCGTCTATGTGAGTTGTTAATGTGGCGATCCGGTCACGTAGCCGAAAACGGTTCTTTGGTCATCTTCGAATAACTGTGATGCGCCGCTTTATATCTTTATCGATCATTATTGTTACTCTAATGACCGCGATTACTACGCGCGTGTAGAGTTGAATTCGAATAAATGTGCATTAATATTAGACATTATCATCCGCAGTTGAAATATTATATACATATATATAAAAAACACGATCTCTAGAAACAAACACAATGCGTCGCTGCGGTATATTTGCATGCATATTATTATTGTAATAGAAACGCGCGTTTTATTATTGCGGCGCTTGCTACAATATAATAATATCGAAAAACAGAAAAAGAAAAATTTAATTATAATTTCAATGTACGTATATAAAATTTATTATATGTTTTTGTCGTGTCAATTATTAATTTTTCACGAACGACTGCGGAAAACGAACAATGTGAAATTTCTATTACGTTATTATTGTAATAATAATAGTAATAATAATAATAATAATAATAATAATAATAATAATAATAATAATAATAATGTCCACGCGTTTTAATTTTACGAATAAGTGCACACACAAATTATCATAATATTAAAACGAACGCGTTATTCAAACATTTTTTTACATTTAAATATTATAACCACCGTTGTCGGTTAATTTTGTGTTTCATTCCGAAACGATGAAAAAAAAAAAAAATTAGAATTATCGTGTACCAGATAGAATAGATAAATATTAGGTTAATCTTTGTAATATATTGTACTGCTTCTATAATATAAAATTACCGTATACGATTTAAGTGTATATTATATACTTATGTACATTATAAACATTTTATACTAATATTATCTCGGAAAGTTTAACCCCCTTCCCCTCCCATTCAAGTAAAATTTATGAAGACGGCGATTTTCTCTTAATCTATAGATTAGGGACGGTACGAACGGAGGTGTATTTAAAAAAAAAAAAAATGATAATAATAAAGTAAAAAACTGTATACAGCCAAGAACTGTATCTAAAACGAAAAATGCAGTAAGCCACACTTTATTATAACAGTATAATACGGGAGTAATAATGTCCTGTGAATAATTTACGTACTTACCTACTTATTTAAGTATAGTTATAATAGCGGTACCTATACATGTACACATAAATCGATTAAATAACGGGTTTAAACGCAGTGGACGTTAAAAATCGTAAATTCATTACACAAATACTATTCGGAGCTTATAATGCGCGGTTTATAATAATATACAATATTATTATTATAATACGAACTATCCGTGTCATCGTCAAATATAATAATAAGATGATATTATTATAATATATACTTACCCGAGAGTATTTTAAGTCCAAATTATTATTAATCTGCTATACAATTTGGTAAAAAAAAAAATATTTTTATAAGTATCTCGTACCTTAATTCGGTCACCTAATAATAATATCGATTTTAATATACGGCCGTCACAAAAAATATAAAATTCTTCTTTTTCTATTAGCATTTTACGGTCCATGAAAGACCTTTTCCGTGGGCATTTTCCTAGGGAAACTCCGACAAGATCTGACTTCGCCCTATCTACTCACCTCTGTCCAGGCCGGATAATAATAATCTTGTATATAATATATTAGATATAGGTATATAATATTACGGATTTCGTTTTATAATACATCTCGTAAATACATAGTGTGTGTGAAAAATCGTGTTTTCTGAAAAATTATATTTTCTCTCTCTCTATATATATATATATACGCCCAGATCGTGCAATTTTTGAAATATGGAGAAAAAAAATCGCATTACTCAAAATCGCTCATTGGAAAAAACAGGGCTGTTTGAATCTGGCATTAAAAACAAATGTTATATGTTCACCCCGACAGGAAAAAAGTTTGACAAAAATGTGTATATTTGATACCGCCTATTATTGTTTTTCCCAGAGTTTGTCCGACCGAAATATCAGGTTAGGTGGTGTACGTACACCTCATGTAGAGTGCGAACACCCTGTATACACTGTTGTAATAATAATTGTATACAATTTACCGAATTACATAAACGTAAGTAAGTATAGGTTTTGCGAAACGTATTCCATTACTAATTACTCGTGTAATTGATGACGCCATATTCGTCTTATAAACACTGAAAATAGATGGGCCGATTGTATTCATCGTGAATGATTCGACGCCTTTTTTTCGGTCTTTACATTTTATCCGGTAAAAAAATCCGATTAAATCATTCGTAATAGAAAATTTGCGGAAACCGATAAATATTATTATCAAAAATAGTTGTATGCATGTATAAAATACGTTTTTGCACGTTTGACTACAGGGGGCAAAAACACAAATCTAAAATGTATCTCGAAATATCGTCAAACAAATACGAATAGACAATATTATGTTCATATACAATGAGTAACTTAGTATACGTTTCTATTTTTTCCAATATTAATTGCTCGTATTTGATAAAAAAATTATCTTATTGCATTACTATAAGCATTGTCTGATTATTGTAACCCTTTTTTTCGTACAAGTAGAATGTAAATTGTTTCGAGGGCTATTATTAAAAAAAAAAAAAAAAAAGTCCGTGTTAATTTTTACGTTTTTTTTTAAAGTGGTTGTAATTTTAGATTCTGAGTGGAGCGAAGAAGCTTATGGTTTTACAAAGATATTTATTATTATTCATTTTTTTTTATCTTTGTGCAACTTTTCTACCAGAAATAATCTTACTCCAATTTTTAAGTGTAGCACCTTCCTGAAAGGAAATTTGTTTGGTTCTACTTTAAGTAGATCGTTTATCGATTTTCGTAAGAGTTCTCAGAAATGTGAAAAATCGGGAAAAAAACATGGAAAAACTGAGAAAAACGGGAAAATCGGTACAATAAACTCCGCTCAGAATTGTTTTTCGTTAGCAATGGATTATCATTGCTTTTAAGTATATACGTTACCTATAACAGTGGATGCACCCGTCTCCATCATCCTAGAGCAGCTTTTTAAGTCCTGTTTACAATGCACGCACAGAAAATCCCACACCGTAATATTGAAACCGATACGAACCCTCGTTCGACTCGAAATCCTAAAATTCCGGAAATTTTACGACTACGCGCGGACTTTCGTTTGTTATTTCTTTTGTCCCATACGTCTTGTTCATCCCGACAGTCGCCTATATATTACACTTCTACATTCGATTGCTGTTTATTATTATTTTTTTTTATGGCGTTATATTGCCACGTTATTATGAAACTGAGAAACAATAAAATAAATACTCATTATCGTCTCTCTCTCTCTCTCTCTCTCTGGAGACTTAAACGTTTTATACGACGACGTCCTCTTCAGCAACAGCAGTAATTGACTGGATATACGTTAATTATGCAACGCGCGAGAGTTACTATTATTCTATCGTGTATCGGTGTTTCAATATAATAATATCCTTTTATAAGTCATTATTTATATGGGGGTTTTTTTTTTTTACTTCTTTCCATCATACGTGATACGTTTTACAAAAATTTATTTTTAAGCCGTACCGATTGCCGTGAAATAAAATAACCCCTCCTCTCTTCACTATAAGTGTTTTCGTTGATATAAGTCTGTTGCGTATGCCATATATTATATATATACAATTTATCGACGGCGATTTTAGTTCGAAAAGTAAATGATCGCAGTGCTATGATATACGTATTATAACGATATTATGATATCGTCTGTATAACGGCGATATTGTTTTGTATATACTATATACATTCTGAGCGTATGTGACGAGGATGTTATTTTTCAAAGTTCTTTGATTCGTCGAATAATTCGAATTTATAAAAATAATAATAATAATAATAAAAAAAAAAAGATTGTTTTTTGACTGTTTGATAAAACAAACTCGCGGCACGACCTCTCTATTAATTATATCTTCCCTTCTAACTTCTTCCTGAAACAGTGGAACATTTATCACTATTTTTATTTTTAGATTTATGTCAATCAAATTTGTTTGGTCTCGTTTAGATGCTGGACAATTTTTTTAATTAAGAAACGTATACTGATAAATATCTGAATGGGCCAGTATTTAAATCATGCGTGAGTGTTTTCAGAGAGAGAGAGAGAGAGAGAAAGAAAGAAAGAGGGGGAGGCAAAAATACATTTCGACGTCATCGCAGTATAATATTAAATAGGGTCTTTTTGTTATTAGAATATGAAATGCATATTAACTTTGTCATCAAATTATTATTCTTAGACTAAATTAATTCAATTTTCAATTTATATTTTCTGTAACCATCCGCTGCATCGTATCAATTGCCATCGGCTATAATTGAAATCAATGATATGGAAATTATTATGCATCATATTTCATATTATATTATTCTGTTATTGAATATTAACTATACCCAACTCGAAACCATAATTGAAATTGAAGTTAATATAATAATAATGTATTGAGTTATTTTACCATATAGTACTTTATATAAATCAAAGTTTACTTATTATTATTATAGTGTATTCTCCTCGTATTTTTTGTTAGATTAAAAAAAGAAAAGTGAAATCACACGTGTCAATGGAAATAATAAATTATACTTACTCGGAGAATATTATATAGGAAGCTATGTAGGTAGGACAAAAAAAAAATCCGATCTAGTCGATTTATAGTCTACGCGTTTATAATAATAGTAATGATGAATAAAAAAAAAAATAAAAAACCAGAGCTATTACACAACATAACATCGCTTATGGGAAACAGCTTGAGAAAATTGAATATAATATATACTTCTACGTGTATTTTCAACTATTTACTGCTTTTTAAACGGGTCTTGGGGTATCGTATTATAATACGATCTTCGATAAACTATTCTAGAGAAAAAAAAAATCTCATAAAACATATTATATACCTACGTATGTTTATGCTAATCAGTCCAGATTCTATATAATATGTAATAATATATACCTAGGTATATACACTTCCTGCTGCTACAGTATATTATGAGACATTCACTCAAAACGATACACATATAATAGCAGTAGGTAGTCTAGAATATTTACATAAATATAGGTGCCTATCTCTATTATATAATATAGTATCATGCTACCAACTGGTGGCCTAACGACCCGTGATAACGAAGACAAATTATTGTAGATCCCAAATGTTTTTCTATAAAATTAATTAGTCTATAAAAACTACACCAGTACACCAGTTATCGTTACTATTATATTCAGATCTAGGCCAGTTGACCAATTTGTTTGACAATTTTTAATTAGTTTAGTTAAAATTATATTAGGTTTCAAACAAATTAACCAAGTTATTTTCAAACATTCGAATTTATTTTTTTGTTCACTTGTTCAGTTAAAGTGACTAACTAATACATAATATTATCTAGGAGTGTTCTTATTTTCGTCTATGGTCGCATAGACTCGTCAAAAGTTTTTGCCACCATGACTGCGCGCTGCCATCTGTCCCTATCGTGAAATACCTCTCTTCTTGTTTTCAACTCTCAGACCTCTCAAGCCTGCTCCCTTAGGGTTTCCATTCCATTGCTGCACTAACCGTTTCATTTTAACTTCTCATTATGTGACCTAAACACTGGTTTCTACCCGTATTTTCGCACAGCTGTCTATTGAACCTCCTGTCCCTTTTCACGAAAGGATCACGGATTTTCCTCCGCATATTTTTCTTGAAAGTTCTCAGTCTTTTCTCCGTCTGTTCGGTTATGTATCAGGACTGTTCTATTGATGTGAGGCAATTTCGGGAGATCTCTCGTTGTGCAACGATATTCCGTCTATATAATCGTGAGGTGCACTTAGATTTTATCAATCATTAGCCGAAACTACTGACTTATAATATTATGATTGAGTGATTATTGTTAGTTGTTACGGTTACGTATGTAAGTAATAAAACCTCTCGTACACATGTGAACAATCTCGATGCATTATTTATTATAATATTTCGTATTTGAAGTAAAAAAAAAAAAACAAAAAACGATTTCTTCGGATAACGATTGCGCAACGAATATATTATAGAAGAATGCGATACTTATAATTTATCTTATTTTTCCCGGAGAGATCGGTGCGTGTGAGTCGATAATAGTCGTATAAATAATAAACGTATAACACGCGAGTCGGAGGAGAAAAAACAGAAAACACGACGAAATTCGAATAGGTTTGTCGACCGTTTTTGTTTCGAAATATGCAGACATTAACTAGTTGAAAAGTCTTTTTTTAACCTTTGTTTCTTGGCCTTTTATCTATGGTTTTTTTTTCATCTATACTTAATAAATATTAATTATTCAATTCCGAATTATATCGCGTTAGATAAATTTCAGTTTTTTTTAAAGTTATTATTATTATTTGAATAGCATCCTCCTCCCCTTCTATAAATAATACGATTTTTCACGAGGAAGGAGGGGAAATAGCCGAATCAATACCTCGCAAAAGAACATAATGCTTATTATTTCTGATGAAAAAAATCTACATAAACTTAATTTAATAAGTAAATTACAATTTCGAATGAACTCTTGACTCAGTCACCTAACTTTCAACGTGTTAACATTTTTCCAAATAACCGAGGTAGTACCTATTCATGAACTTTCTTAGCCTCGCTGAATATGACGTAAATAAATGGTTCTTCGAATTTCTTAAATTTTTTGTCACGAGCAACCCTTCGGATTCTCGCCCTATCTGGTTTATCCTCGATAATATTATATTCGTTCGTCAACCCTCCTTGAATATTTCCAAAACCCCTGGCCGATTCGTCTTCTGCGTAAATTCCGTTCGCGTCGTCGCTCCAACTCCTCGCCTAATTGCGTGTTTTCCTTCCCCTGCTGTTGTTCAATCGTTTCTCCTATACGTATCTTCGAGGCGTTCTCGTGCGTTTCGGTCGATTCGAAACCGACCGGGGTAGGTAATAAATAGGTCCAGTTTCATAAACTGGTCTGCGCGTCGCATTGTGTACGGGTACTTGCAACCCGGGCACCGTACGACTTGCGTCAAAACATCACGTTTTAAAGTCGACGTGAAAATCACAGAGGTATACATAATAATATTATTATCGTTGTTATTACAATATTTTATAAATATTACGCGATCGCGTGGGCGGACTACGGCGATCAAAACGTCCGTCGGACTTGTGTGCACGCATGTACACGATAATATACAGTGTGTGCACATACATAAACGTATACGTTTATATTGAAAACGCAAGTGACCGGTTGAGACGCGCGCGCGCGGGTGTTTGTGTGTGTGTCGAGTCGGCCGGTCCGGTGCAGCGTCGGCGGGATGCCAGTGACCCGAGTGCTTTGATCTCTGCGTGCGCCGTGATCCGCTCCGCCGTGTCCGAGCCGTGGAGCGCGCGCGCACGCGCACAACCGTGCACTACGGCCGCGGCGTCCTTGTACGAGTACCTTGGGGCGGCCGACTTGTCCGCTTTGTGCGCGTCGCGTCGCGACCGGTTCCTCTGCCGCCCTCTCTCGCACCGCCCCGACCGCAACCCCCCACTCCGCGAAGCCGATCCATCAGTGGTGGCCGCCGTCGCCGAACGCGGGCGACGGCGCGATTCGATCGATCGAGCGACGAGCGCTCGGCGCGGCCACGACGGTACCCGAAACGCGACAACCGGTTGACTGGGATCGACGCGGCGCGCGGCCGCTCTCGACGCACACACGCCGCAGTCGTCGTCCGTCGCCCGGTCGTTCTTTTTGTGTTGTGTTCTCGTGCGCGTTCCGACCCGTGTGCGTTTTTCTCTCGCGCCTCCCACCGCGCGTTCTACTGCGAAAACGATACGTCATAGTACCTTAAAACGTTATTGTGCGGTGTTTATTTTTGTTATTATTTTTGAATATCGTCGTCGTATTCCAGCCCGCGTGCGCGTGTGCGCAGTGAGTGTATTATCGCGTTCGCGTTTGACAATTTGTTTTTTTTTCCCGTTTCGTTTTTACGTGCGTGCGCCACAACGATGACGGCGCGTCGGCTATCGCGGTCGACGGCATCGACGAGAACACGGCGGCTGATATGAAACCGATCACGTTCGAGAACCTCCGGCGGCTGATCGGCGGCCGCCGCAAGAACAAGGACCGCAACGAGTCACCGTTCAAACGGAGCGATTCGTTTAAACGGATATCGATTCGGAGAAATTATCTGGAAAGTCGCGGCGGCGGTGGCGGTGGCGGCGGCGGTCAGAAGGGCAGAAATCCCACCAAAAAGCCTCCGCCCGTCACCGACGAAGACCCGCAGCAGCGTACGTTACCCGAAAACAACGTTGGGAAGACGACCAACGACGGTCATCCTCTTCCACCTCCGGCGTTGGCGCCTCGCAGTCCTCCCTTCGCTAGTCTCCCGAGTGTGCCGGTACCCAAACCGCCGGACTGTCCGCTACCCGAGCCGCCCAGGGAGAACGTACCTCCGCCTCCACCGCCCGCCGAACGAAAACGGCGTGTGGTCACGCCGGTCCCGTCGCCGCCGACCGTCACCACCGTTGCCGACACCGCCGAAAATATTACTGCCGCACCGGCTGCCCCGGTCATAGATTACGGCGAATGGATCCGGTGTATCCGCGCCGAAGAGGACCTGAACAACTTGAAGCGGTCGTGTTCGCCGCCCACGCCGCCCGCCCGGTACCGGTACAAAGAGTTGGACGACAGCAGCCGTACCGACTCGGCCATCAGCTTAGGTAGGATATGGATGGACGCGCCGATGTTACCTCCGGCCGCGCCCCGGAGCCTCGAGCTACCCGGCCGTCCGGTGGCCACGGCGGACGTTGACGGCCAACAGCGCCGGGCCCACCATTCGCTAGAGAGCGCGCTCAAAGACAAGCGGGACGACCGTCCGTTGCCGAGCCGGCGTTTTCACAGGTACCCCGTCGCCACGACCGTCGTGGAAAAAACGGCCTCACGGTCGTCAGTGGCGTCCACGTGTTCCGGCAAGGATTCGGGTTTCAGCCTGTCCGCGCCCGGGCTTTCGGACCCGCCGACCCGGCCGTCCAAGCAGCTATTCCGCAAGAAGGTGCCGAGTAGACGACCGGCCGCTGCGGTGTCCGCCTCCTCCAGGCCACCGGCTTCGGCGCAACCGGCCGCGGCGCCGTCCCAGGACAAACTTTACCGCGTAGTGATGTCCCGGTCGCCGCTCCGGCAGCTCAAACTCGATCCAATGATATTCGTGACGCCGGAAAAAAGGAGGACCGCCGGCGCCCAGCACCACCATCACCCGAAACCGTCGCGTCCGGTCGTAGAGATCCGCGATTATTGCGTGCCGAAAGACGTGCGTCTGCAGCACCGCAGTCGCGGAGACGGATACGACGACGGCAACGGAGACTACGATTACGACGACGACGACGAGCAGGACAGACTCTACGAGTCGATATCGAAAGGTTCGCGGCGGTGGCAAGAGTCCACGGACGACGCGGACACCGAAGACGACGTTCAGCACCGGCACCAATACCAGTACCAGCACCGGGCTAGCGAGTCGTCGGCGGCCAGGAGCCGTGTGAAGCGGAAAAAGTCGGCCCGCAGGAACATCAAATACGTGGTGAAACCCGTGCGGAGAGCGCCTTCCGCGGCCTCCCGGAAACCCAGCGTGGCCGCCAAGTCAAAGTCCTCCTGGATAACGACAAGTACGTCCTAATCCCCGTCGCTTAACGTCGTCCCGCGTTTCGCGAGATATTTCGATTGAAATTTTCCTTCATGAATCATCGTTGTCCTCTATAGAGCCGTATTTCTCGATTTATTTTACTTGTACGAGTGAGAAATTTCGATGGACCCTTTTGACTCGAGGGAGATTTTTCATCTTGGCATGTAAACGATGGTCACTTTTTTTTTTTATTTTAAGATTTACCAGATTACTAGATTCGTTTGTTATTAACGATAAAGTTTTTTTCTCTCGGCTGTTTAACTGGTTTTGAAATCCCGGGATGAATACGGCCGCTCAAAATTGTGTGGTTTTTATTATTATTATCATTTTTTTTTTGTCACGGGCAGACGCGAAAATCTTCGCTCAGACAAATTTATGAATACATGAGAACGATAACGTGAACAAATTTCTCGCCGTCGGATATTCGACACGAGCTCATTGCTCATCGGTCTTTCGGTTTTCTGTAGTTATTGTGAGTGAAAAAGTCAAAAAGAATCGCCTGGAGTCTAGAAAACGCCCTATATGAATATTGTAACTTCGGGTGTATAACCCGGAACATCGCGAATCGCCATCATACCGTGTACAATTCGAATTAACTTTACGTCCCGTCGAGTAATAAGGACAAGTTTCGTGTTGTCGTCGAGTGCGCGTTTAAACCGCGTAACACACACACACACGTTCGCGATTCGGAAATTTAAATAATACTATCATTGCCAGGTACCGTTAATCCGAATGATGTATTATTATTATTATTATAATTCTTACGATGATTCATCGGGGGAATCAAAATGTCGAATCGTTTCATTGATATTATTGTGGTGTACGTTTGTCGGCATTCCTTCGATGAGATAACCGATAACTCGTCAAACTGGTTACGCGAAATTGCTTAAGTTTATTTCGTGATAATTTACGAGTATCGAGCTATTTTTTTTATTTATTTTTTATATTTTTTCTTCATAATATATTGTTCGACCGCACGACGAAATCGTAAATTATATTCTAATATATTATGCTCGTGTACCTATAATATAATACGCACGTATAGCGCAGACTTTCCGCGTTTACGTCTGGATTCCTCGAGGTGGTGACGGTGACACACATTATATTATTATGATCAAAAACGTGTTCGTCGTATTTTTCGCTAAAAAAAAAAAAAAAAATAAAAATAAAAAAACGGTTATGGTAATTAGTCGACGGGAGCCGCACGATGATATTCCCGTTTCGTCGTTGCGGGTACCACGCGTGTTTTTGGCACATAACCTAATATGAAAAATATACAAGACCAATTAAAATATTATAATATCTACTATTTTTTTTTTCAAATTTTTTTTTTAAGGCGTGGTACGCGAGAGTAAATTGTCGACTTTCTTAGTTCGTTCTTCGCCGTAATATACGGCTAAAAAATAATTAACGCGAAAAATTTTCGCCTACCGCCCATATAATAATAATAACAACATAATAGCCGCGCGGTGTATTATAAGATTTCGTCGGGTATATAGTGTCGTTAAAAGAACAACAAGAAAAAAAAACAGGTTAAAAACATCGCGCGTAACAATAAAAAATAAAAAAAAATCCCACTCGAATCTTTGTGATATAGCGTGTAAATCCTCATAAAAAAAGCCCGCGTCGTCGTTGCGTCTGGAAACCTTGAAAAGGTTAGCAATCGAATTCGGGATCGAATATCATCGTCGTCTCATCGTGCACCCGGTGTGTAATATATTAAAATACTATCTATATACACCGGAGGCGCGTAAAAAAAATAAATTTTTTTTTTTATAATCGTACAATGTAATATATAGGTATATATCGGTATCCAATACCCGTCTCCGAGGTTCCGTCGGAGCGGAAAAGACGAGAGAAAAATATTGTACTCGTATTTTATTAAATACTATTATGTATACATGCATACAAAATAATCTGTATGGAACAAAATAAATAACCTATGTATAAAGTCTGACGGTTCCGTTCTCCGTCATTAAACATCACCGGAGTTCTCGTCGCCGCCGTCGGAGTATAATATAATATGTCATAGGTGGGTATCAAATTATATACGAATCGTATACTGTGCGTTGTATACAGGGCGATTTATATTGAAAATCGGCGACTTTCGTCGTTTGAGCGAATTTGATTCCTCTGTTTTTGGAATGATCGTCAAAATAATTAGTGGTATCTATAGCAGCGTTTCCCAGTCTGTTTAGGACTGCGGCTCAAATTTTCCCCCGGAAATCTATCGCGACCCACGTGGTTTCGCTTTTCAAATAGTAGTTTATGTAAACAGCAGGGACAATCTTGAAACGACCTCCTAAGCGGAGTATCATAGTCAGATTTTCTTTCAGAAAAAGTGCTTAACTTGAAAATCGGTACGAAATTGCTGGTGGAAAAGATTGTTTACAGATCGTTTAAGATTGTATATATATATATATAAAAAAAAAAGAAAAAAATCATTCGTCTAGTGGTCCGCTTGGTATCGAAAAACATACATTTCTCGGAATCTATATAATTCAAAACAATTTTCGCGATCCACCACAAGTTGACTCGGGACACTCACCAGTGGGTCGTGCGACCGATTTATAGCTGCGGATTTGTTTATCCCGTCGTCTTGTATCGCGAATTCGCGAATAGACGCGACGAGTAGTGCAGTAGAAAATGAGAGGGTTGTCGACACGTAGTCGCGGCAATTTATTATCACCGTACCGATTTTGCTTTGCCCATGTTATACTCGTCCGGTCGAAATCCTCGGTGTTTGAAAATTCGAAATGCGTATCGTGCGCATTCGTTATTATACTGCATGTGGCGATGACCGTATAGCGGCAGACAATTATTGAAAATAACGTTGAAATACTAAACCTCAAACGAGTACATGATGATTGATGATAGTATTGTTGGCTTTCACACTACATAACCGAATCAAACGCGGAGGCGGGGCGAATATAAAATATTGTTTAACGTTCCGTTATGTATACCAAACGCTATCGTAGCTCAGCGTCATATATTCCACGTGTCTTGATGTTAAAAAACCAATGATATTATTATCGGTGTATGTCTCGTAAAGTTTTTCGATTTAATGCGTTTGGCTAATGGCATTTTGTAGCTCAGAATGTTGTGTTCATGTGTATTTGTCCGTTAATGACGATGTAGTTTTTCTTTAGTGTCCAAAGGGTTCATCTATATTTATATTATAAAAATTATAATGATATTGAGGGGGGGGGAATCGAAACACAAATTGAATTTACTTAAAATCTTCTGAGAAAATCGCCAGTTCACGACGAATGAATCACCCTGTACGTATAGATTTGTACTC